GAGTGCTAGTTTAGAAACACATAATTAGCTAGTTGGATTATGGTAGGTTATTTATGCGAATGCGGAGAAGTAATGAATTTTAAAATCAATAGTATGTCTAAGCGAAAGACCAGGCACTTTATAAACAAGAGTAAATAAATCGAAGGCATGAAGACCAAGATTGTGTGGTTGTAGTTTCCTTTCGTTGTATAGGATAAAATAAAGCCCCTTTAGTGTAGGACAAATAAAATTAAAAATTCAGCAGCCCTCAATAATGCCTCATCCTATTTAAGATTTGCTGAATTCAATAAGGTGGGAGGAATATAATTCTGACCAATCTTAGTCAAAACAGACGAGTAAATTCGTCACTTGGAAATAAGAATGAATAATTAAATAAAAGGGCTAGTATCTCATATATAAATACGATAAGCCTACAACTACAATCGAATTACCTGTTCTCTTAGACAATGGTTTTCCCTTGCCATTCTTTTCATTTCCTCTTCAGATTCAGCTTTTATACCATCAGCAACTTGTACAGTCTTTAAAAGGTCCCGTTCGTAAAGGCGCCACTCAGTTAATTGACGCTCATGTTCCGATTCCAATAATTGAAAGCGCTCCCTTAGGTCTTCATTATCTTTCTGTAAATCCCTTAATTGCTCTTCAGCTTTTTCATGATTTGCCATGTGTGGGCATATCTTAGTGATGGCTGAGCCGGTAGAATTCCAATAAAAGTGAGTAATATCCTCATCTTCTGCTTGAATGCAAGACCCGAGAGAATAATCTACTGCAAAATTTTGTATATAAGACTCTGAGGAACCAGAATGGGCAGCCTTTAGGGTTTCTTCCGCTTGTTGAATAGATTCAATCTTGACTATGGCCAATTGATAAGCTTTTGTTAAGGCCGCATGCTCATTTTCTATGGCATCGAAACTATCTTGCAACAAGGCTATTTTTTCTGTCAGGATGCGACATTCTTGGGCTAGACCATCACTGCTCTGAGCCAATTCATTGTTTTGCGTGAGAAGATCCTGTTTTTCTTGTTCAATGGAAGCATAGAGCTTACAGAAATGAGCTTCACGTGTATCGGGCGTTTGAGCTGCACGGTCTGTTAGAAGAAGGTATTTTAGTTGATCAATTTGAAGACGGCAATGTTCGAGTTTTGCGGTTTGAGTACAAAGTGACTCTAACAAAATAGCACGTTCGAAAGCAAGATTTCGATTCTCTTCATGGGCTTCGTCAAGACTACGCTGGAGATCGCACAATTCTTGGAGTGTGGCTTGCAACTCCTCTGTCGTTGTATAGTTGTCCTCCTCCATTTGAAGTAGCCGCCCCTGTAAATTAGCAACGGACAGAGCATTCTGAGGTTGGATGGGTGGAGGATCATCAATGCTTAAGCCAGTGTCACTTTCTCTCGCATCAACACTTGCATTGCTGGCATCAATCCCACGATTAGATTCATCCCATTCGCTAGAAGCTGAACTAACTGTTATGGTGCCTGTGATAACTGTAGTGGCTCCGCCAGCAGTCATGCGAGTCGTAGTCCCTAACGAATCAGGAGGTGAGCAATAACGAAGACGGTTGAGAGGATGTGAAATAGAAGTAGCATCAGCGGATGAGTACGTATCGTCTCTAGCTAAATTTTTGTCTTCTATTTTTTTGGGTCGGATCGTATCGGTTGGTAATGATTGAATGGAATCGGTGGTAGAAGAAGTGTTTCTACCACACAAGGACTTACTAGTTCCATTGATATCTTCAAACTGTTTCTTCAACATAACTAACTCATTTTGAGTCTCAGATGCAATCTCGGTAGCGTCTTGAGCCTCTTTTTTGGCCCTTCTTAGCTCAAAAGTCAGTTTTTCTATCTCGACTTTTCGCATTTCTGTAAGTTGAGTTAGATCTGAGATGCGAGCTTCGTAGACTTTCTTTTCTTTTTCCACACGGGAAAGCAAGTCAGTGTTGACAGATATACGATTGGCATTGCGTTGCGAGTCAATAGATGAGACCGTAGACTGAGAAAGCAATTGCGGTTCAGATGAGGCATCGATGGACAAATTCTTCGATTTTTTATGAAGTGATGAAGTCATTTTGGTGTTTTCGGGTTTGTTGTTAATTGTTAAAACCAAATTATTAGTGCTAGTGTGATGTTTTTTCGGATCAATTAAGGTAAAATCGTTCTTTAAAGAGGGACTTGAGATAGAGTTTGCCATTTTCCCTCGAGGGGACTTAATATTTTGGTAACTAGATGCCTTCTTAATGACGGTGGATTCATTACAGGAATTTAAA